AGTGCACAAAGATGGGAAGACATCAGTGCACAAACCATCGCAAACGCTAATACACAAACTAAGGAAGACAGTGTACAAAGCAGGAAATACAGAAGTGCACAAAACAAGGATAGACGCAGAGCACAAACTAAGGAATACATCTGTGTACAAACCAGGGAAGACAGCAGTGTACAAAAAATGGAAGATAGTAGTATACAAACCAGGGAAGACAGTAGTGCACAAACAAGGGAGAACAGCAGTGTACAAACCAGGAAATACAGCAGTGCACAAACCAGTTAAGACAGCAGTGCACAAATCAGGCAATACAGCAGTACACAACCAGAGAATGCAGCAGTGCACAAATCAGGGAATACAGCAGTACACAAACCAGGGAAGACAGCGGTGCACAAACCAGGGAATACAGTAGTGTACAAACTTGTGAAGACAGCAGTGCACAATCCAGTTAATACAATAGTGCACAAACCAGAGAAGACATCATTGCACAAAACAGACAAGACAGCAGTGCAGAAAGCAGGGAAAACATCAGTGCACAAACCAGGGAAGACAGCAGTGCACAAACCAGGAAAAACATCAGTGCACTAATCAGGGAAGAACACAATGCACAATGAATGTAAAACAGCAGTGCACAAACCAGGGAAGGCAGTGCACAAACAAGGGAAGACATGAGTGCACAAACCAGGGAAAACAGCAGTGCACAAACCATGGAAGAATGCAATACACAAACCAGGGAATACAGAAGAGGGCAAATCAGGGACTACAACAGTGCACAAACCACTCAATACCACAGTGCACAAAAGAAGCAGACAGCAGTTCACAAACAAGGGAGAGAGAGCGGTGCACAAACCCGGGAAAACAGCAGTGCATAAACCAAGGAAGGCAGCAGTTCACAAACTTGGAAATACGTTAGTGCACAAACTGCTCAATACCTTAGTGCACAAACAAGGGAGACAGCAGTGTGCAAACCATGGAAGAAAACAGTGCACTAAACCGGGAAAGCACAAGCGTACAAATCAAGGGAGACACCAGTGCACCAACAAAAAAAATCAGCAGTGCACAAAACAGGGAAAACATCAGTACACAAGCCAGAGAAGTAGTGGTGCACAAACAATGAAACAGCAGTGAACAAACCACTGAAGACAGCAGTCCCCAAACCAGGAAAGTCAGCAGTGCACAAACCAGGGAAGACAGCAGTGCACAAAACAGAGAGGACATTAGTGCATAAACCAGGGAAGACAGCAGTGCACAAACCAGGGAAGACAGCAGTGCACAAAACAGAGAGGACATTAGTGCATAAACCAGGGAAGACAGCAGTGCACAAACCAGGAAACACAGCAGTGCACAACCCAGGGAAGACAGCAGTGCACAAACCAGGGACGACAGCAGTGCACAAACCAGGGAAGACAGCAGTGCATAAACCAGGGAAGACAGCAGTGCACAAACCAGGGAAGACAGCAGTGCACAAACCAGGGAAGACAGCAGTGCACAAACCAGGGAAGACAGCAGTGCACAAACCAGGGAAGACGACAATGCACAAACCAGGGAAGACAACAATGCACAAACCAGGGGAAGACAGCAGTGCACAAACCAGGGAAGACAGCAGTGCACAAACCAGGGAAGACAGCAGTGCACATACCAGGGAAGACAGCAGTGCACAAACCAGGGAATACAGCAGTGCACAAACCAGGGACGACAGCAGTGCACAAACCAGGGAAGACAGCAGTGCACAAACTAGGGAAGACAGCAGTGCACAAACTAGGGAAGACAGCAGTGCACAAACAGGGAAGACAGCAGTGCACAAACAGGGAAGACAGCAGTGCACAAACCAGGGAAGACAGCAGTGCACAAACAGGGAAGACAGCAGTGCACAAACCAGGGAAGACAGCAGTGCACAAACCAGGGAAGACAGCAGTGCACAAACCAGGGAAGACAGCAGTGCACAAACTAGAGAAGACAGCAGTGCACAAACCAGGGAAGACAGCAGTGCACAAACTAGGGAAGACAGCAGTGCACAAACCAGGGAAGACAGCAGTGCACAAACTAGGGAAGACAGCAGTGCACAAACTAGGGAAGACAGCAGTGCACAAACAGGGAAGACAGCAGTGCACAAACAGGGAAGACAGCAGTGCACAAACCAGGGAAGACAGCAGTGCACAAACAGGGAAGACAGCAGTGCACAAACAGGGAAGACAGCAGTGCACAAACAGGAAAGACAACAGTGCACAAACAGGGAAGACAGCAGTGAACAAACAGGGAAGACAGCAGTGCACAAACAGGGAAGACAGCAGTGAACAAACAGGGAAGACAGCAGTGCACAAACAGGGAAGACAGCAGTGCACAAACAGGGAAGACAGCAGTGTACAAACAGGGAAGACAGCAGTGCACAAACAGGGAAAACAGCAGTGCACAAACGGGGAAGACAGCAGTGCACAAACAGGGAAGACAGCAGTGCACAAACAGGGAAGACAGCAGTGCACAAACAGGGAAGACAGCAGTGCACAAACAGGGAAGACAGCAGTGCACAAACAGGGAAGACAGCAGTGCACAAACAGGGAAGACAGCAGTGCACAAACAGGGAAGACAGCAGTGCACAAACAGGGAAGACAGCAGTGCACAAACAGGGAAGACAGCAGTGCACAAACAGGGAAGACAGCAGTGCACAAACAGGGAAGACAGCAGTGCACAAACAGGGAGAGATCTACCAAAAACGAATATTTTGTTTAAGAAATATTACGTAATTATTTAAGGGATGTTAAGGAGATGTAAAAAATGGTTGAGATATTAATAACAATATGATAGTAATATATTATGTTATTATTAATATATATTATATATTATTTATTTATTGTTATATTATATTATTGTATTATATTATATTATTATATATTATGTAATTATTATTTTATTATTATATTATTATTATTATTATTATTATTATTATTATTATTATTATTATTATTATTATTATATTATTATTATTATTATTATTATTATTATTATTATTGGTATTAATTATTATTATTATTATTATTATTATTATTATTATTATTATTATTATTATTATTATTATATTATTATTATTATTTATTATTATTATTATTATTATTATTATTATTATTGGTATTATTATTATTATTATTTTATTATTATTATTATTATTATTATTTATTATTATTTATTTATTATTATTATTATTTTATTATTATTATTATTGTATTATTATTATTTATTATTATTATTATTATTATTATTATTATTATTATTATTATTATTATTATTATTATTATTATTATTATTATTATTATTATTATTATTATTATTATTATTATTGGTATTATTATTATTATTATTATTATATTATTGGTTATTATTATTATTATTATTATTATTATTATTATTATATTTATTATTATTATTATTTATTTATTATTATTATTATTATTATTATTATTGGTATTATTATTATTGGTATTAGTTTTTTATTATTATTATTATTATTATTATTATTATTATTATTATATTATTATTATTATTTTATTGGTTTTATTATTTATTGTTTATTTAATTAATTATTATTATTATTATTATTATTATTAATTTATATTATTAATATTATTATTATTATTATTTTTGTATTATTATTATTATTTATATATTATTATTATTATATTATTATTATTATTATTATTATGATTGGTATTATTGTTTTATTATTATTATTATTATTATTATTGTTATTGTTATTATTATATTATTATTATTATTATTATTATTATTATTATTATTATTATTATTATTATATTATTATTGGTATTATTGTTTTATTATTATTATTATTATTATTATTATTATTTATTATTATATATTATTACGGTGATGATGATGATGATGATCTTATTAATATAATTGTAATTATTACTATGTTTATTTTTATTTTTATTAGTACTATTATTATTATTATTATTATTATTATTATTATTATTATTATTATTATTATTATTATTATAATTATTTATGGTGAAGCTCTGGAAGTGTATGGGTCAAACAGAGCCGAAGAATCAGGACTCAAGGATGAGGATCGTAGCTATAATTTGTTAACTCAAGGACTCCTCTGAAATTATTGTATTGAGAGAGTACGAAGAGTGATGTATGAACCTAGATACTCTAATAACAATAATAATCTGGTTTTAAATTTGTTTTATTCATCCAATTTTAAATTTGTCTTATTCATCCAATAAATACCTTTATTATAATTTTACAGTTTTATTCTTGACATATTTCTCTACATAACCGAGCTTAACAACAATCATAGAAACAAACATACGATCAGAGATATTTATTTAAAGAAATTTTGTTATATAAATGTACATTATCAATTTATAATTAACCCACTAGTCCGGGAATTTTATCCTGTGGCAGCCTGGGTGTTGTGACTTGCTGCAGTCAGGGTATTGTGAACCTGTTGCAAGAAGAGTATTGCGAACATGTTGCAACCAGAGTATTGTGAGCCTGCTGCAGCCTGTATACTGTGATTTGCTGTAGCCAGACTATTTCAACTTTGCTGTAGTCAGGATACTGTGATCTTTTTCACCCTAAGTATTGTATCATTTTGCAGCCAGGGTATTGTATCATGTTGCAGCCAGGGTATTGTATCATGTTGCAACCAGGGTATTGTATCATGTTGCAGCCATGGTATTGTATCATGTTGCAGCCATGGTATTGTATCATGTTGCAGCCAGGGTATTGTATCATGTTGCAACCAGGGTATTGTATCATGTTGCAGCCATGGTATTGTATCATGTTGCAGCATGGTATTGTATAAATAACAAAAAGGCACAATACCGTGACTGGAACGATGCACAAATAACCCGCACATAAAAGAGAGAAGCTTACGACGACGTTTCGGTCCGACTTGGACCATTGACAAAGTCACACTTTGTGACTTTGTCAATGGTCCAAGTCGGACCGAAACGTCGTCGTAAGCTTCTCTCTTTTATGTGCGGGTTATTTGTGTATGGTATTGTATCATGTTGCAGCCATGGTACTGTAACTTGCTGCGGTTCGGGTACTGTGATTTTTTTTCTTCAGCTTTAAGTCACTGCTTCACTTCATTATATCAACAGCCAGCGCAACATCTTCATTATATTTACCATTTTTTTCTACAATGATATATGTTAATAATTCAGCCAAAATGTGAAAATATGTGATAGAAAAAATTGCTGTTAACGAAAACACAGAACCAGCTTATCTGCAACAGCTGTAAACTATTATTCTATTCGTGGAAAATCATTAAGCCTGTATGACATGGCTATAACTATGACGATAATTTTTAAAGGGGTAGACTGGGAGGCCTCGGTCAGATGACCAAAACCTCCAACGGCGGGTCATCATCTGACTAAGACCCGCGTCAGGAAACACTTGTCCTGTTTCCTGACAAACCTTACCTAACCTAACCCTGTATGAGTCAGTGCCTGGGGAATGGGAGGTAATCAGGTTAAATTCAGTGTAAAGAGAGAGAGAGAGAGAGAGAGTAGCACTAACTCCGCTCATAAGCCCTTCATGAGTAGTTCATGAGCTCTTCATGAGCACCAAGGCGGGTGAAGCCCTGAAGGGGCATGGTGGGAGGCCACCAGATAAGAACATGAGAATTATCTCAATAAAACTGATTCGCTTTCTAGTTAACAGCGTTTTTTCTACCATGTTATGATACAGGTGTTTGGTAAATTCACACTGCTTTAGCAACATGGCACAATGGACTAGCGTCGTTCACATACACACACACACACACAATGTCAGCTCCGTCCTTGTTTCTACATCTGCCTCTTATCCAGTAACAGCTGACAGATCGTGCTAAACTCTGCACAAATGACAAATATTTATTGGCAGCTGCAGTTAAGATAGCGGCACCTTTCATGATACAACATTGCAGAGAACATCACGGCTGAGAAGATACGTTATCTTTAAAGGACGTAAACGAAAATAAACTTAATTATTGTCATTTATATGCTTAAAATGAGAAGTGTTAATGCGTTGTAAAACTATATGCTCTACCAAATGAACTGTCTTTACACTCGGTGGTAGGGAGTATCTTAGGTCACAGGAGGGAATCAAATGGATCAGATAATGTCGAGATGTATGGGAATACATGCACACTGTCTTCTAGCGATCTTGAATCATCGGAGAGAAGGTCTGTAAGGTCGCTGAAGTTACTGGGTGACTCTCGAGCCTTTAAAGACAAACTTGAGGCTGAGCTGGAGGTGGAGCAATAGTCCAGAAGTTGCGGAATTTGATGAGCACTACATATCTGGGTGAAGGAGGTCATATGGTCTTGATACTGGAATGCCATAACACTGTCTTCTGGAATAACAGTCTTCTGCAACGGAAGCTGAAATGTATGCTGCAGAGATTCTTGAAGGGAATCGTGAAGTGAGCATTGAAGGGAGCTTTCCGGACAGCAAATGTCAGACAAATCATCATCTTGCAGACAGCAAACGTTTGACCCATCAACTTGTAATGCATCCGACAGAGCTCTGATGTAACTGACGGCAAGGCGAAGTGTCGTGATCTTGGTCATAGAAGAAGAAGCTGTGTGCACTGACATAGCATCTGGTAATATCTTGCGGAGGGATTCGAATGCGTTATTGATTTGCTTCATGCGATGCCGTTCTCTAGCGTTAGCAGTCTTCCTGCGGTACTTCGACAGCGGCTCTTTCTTGTGTTTCAATCTCACGGGTCTCTTGGGATCTTCCTTTCTAGCTCTTTCTTGCTGTAGTCTCTTAATGATGGTTTTTGGGCGAAGAGCGTACGTTTGCCTTATCTTTACTGTCTTGGAATCAGGTTCCTGACGCAGCTGAATGGAATACATTTCCCCTGTGTTGCCCGTCGTGGAGCCGAGCTCCTGACGGAAACTCTCAGAGATGTTCATTGTTTGGGTAGTGTTGTCAATCATGTTGCAGGCCCTCACTTTATTACTACTTTATCTTCATTAAATAAATTATAGTGCTTTGGTTTATAAGTTTCCTTATTGTACTGTTCGTATCATAATTTTTAGAGACACGTTACTTCGCACTGTCTGAAGTTATGAAAAGATATTAACACATGTTGCACTTGTAGTGAGTTTCAAGTATTTATAGCATTAATGTTATCCTTTCCTTAGTACGTTGGGTCAGTTTAACGTAATGCGGTATAATTCCTACATTTAAATAAGTTCCTCCACATAAACAACTGCCAGAAGCATGCCATACGGGCAGCAAATGTTCTCACGTTGATCAATAAGAAAGAGAAAAACGTGTCTCCAAAGAGTAATTTCTGTGACTAATCACTCGTTCATACTGAGTGACGATCTCTAAAAATTGAAGTCAGAGGACTTGGGCCTGGACTCGCGTACAACCTTTCTTAATGAGAGGAGCACAACGACTGAGGTCTGTAACAGACCTTCAGTCGTCCACACCTGATGCCAGTGTTACCAGACAGCATGAGCAAAACAAACCAATTATACTTCTATTACCAAGAAACTCGAAACTCTTACCTCTGCCTAAATCTACAATAACAGCTATAAATACAAACGTGCGGTGAATCAGGACGCAATAAGAAGGCGAGGAAAGTTATACATATTATTAATGTTCCCTAAAATGTGTATGTGATAACTGAGAGAGAACGTTTGGTCAGGGGTCGAGGTTGAGGCCAGAGCTCAGTATTGACGGTGGCGCCGCCGAGGCAGCACTAGGAGAAAGTAAAGTAGAGAGGACATAAAATCAACCTTCAGTTCAATTCAATTCAAAGTTTATTTATATCATTCTTGATAAGCTTTCTATTTATACTGAAACACATACACACAGTGAAGAGGCGGGGCCAGGAGCTTTGACTCGACCCCTGCAACCACAACTAGGTGAGTACACACACGCACTTTCCTTTGAAAACTACACCCACTCTCTCTCTCTCTCTCTCTCTCTCTCTCTCTCTCTCTCTCTCTCTCTCTCTCTCTCTCTCTCCTCTCTCTCTCTCTCTCTCTCTCTCTCTCTCTCTATCTCTCTCTCTCTCTCAAAACAGGCCAAGTGTCTGTCGATAAATGCATATCTGACAAATAATAATTAACTTTCACACTTTAAAACACACCTTTACAAACACACACACACAACGGTATGTCCTAGGAAGAGAGGTTACGGGAAATCAACCTGAGAACACTGGAGGACAGGAGGGATGGAGGGGACATGATAACGACGTATAAAATATTGAAAGGAATTGACAAGGTGGGCAGGGCCAGAATGTATATGAGATGGGTAGCAGGAACAAGGAGACACAATGAAGTAATGGAGGCAGGGTCCATACATATCTATAAGATGACGTATGGTAAGGCTTTTGGAGCAGGGAGAGAGTGGACTTAGTAGCGACTAGCGAAGAGATAGCCAGGAGCTGAGAATTAACCCCGGCAGCAAACAAATAGTTGAGTACAAATAGGCTAGTACATATAATATTCACACACATATATACGCACACACAAATGCACGCACACACACGTTCAAGACTGTACACCGTGTACATCAGGCCCATACTGGAGAACGCAGCACCAGTTTGGAACCCACAACTGGTCAAGCACATCAAGAAATTAGAGATAGTCCAAAGGCTTGCAGCAAGGTTAGTTCTAGAGTTAAGGGGAATGTCCTACGAAGAAAGGTTAAGGGAAATCGTCCTGACGACACTGTAGGACAGGAGGGTCAGAGGAGGCATGATAACGACATACAAAATACTGAGAAGAATTGACAAGGTGGACAGAGACAGGGTGTTCCAGAGATGGGACACGGAAACAAGGGGTCACAATTGGAAGTTGAAGACTCAGATGAGTCAAAGAGATGTTAGGAAGTATTTCTTTAGTCATAGAGTTGTCAGAAAGTGGAATAGTCTGGCAAGCGATGTAGTGGAGGAAGGAACCATACAAAGTTTTAAGACGACGTATGATAAAGCTCATGGAGCAGGGGGAGAGAGGACCTAGTAGCACTCAGTGAAGAGGCGGGGCCAGGAGCTATGTATCGACCCCTGCAACCACAAACAGGTGAGTACAAGTAGGTGAGTACAATCTCTCTCTCTCACACACACACACACATACACACACACACACACACACACACACACACACACACACCATACACACATACGACACTGGAGGACAGGAGAGATAGGGGGGACATGATAACGACATACAAAATACTGAGAGGAATTGACAAGTTGGACAAAGACAGGATGTTCCAGAGATGGGACACAGCAACAAGGGGACACAGTTGGAAGTTGAAGACACAGATGAATCACAGGGATGTTAGGAAGTATTTCTTCAGCCACAGAGTAGTCAGCAAGTGGAATAGTTTGGGAAGCGATGTAGTGGAGGACAGGATCCATACATAGCTTTAAGCAGAGGTATGATAAAGCTCACGGTTCAGGGAGAGTGACCTAGTAGCGATCAGTGAAGAGGCGGGGGCAGGAGCTCGGACTCGACCCCTGCAAACTTAACTAGGTGAGTACAACTAGGTGAGTGAGTACACACACACAAACACACACACACACACAGGGGGGATTTGATAACGACATATAAATTATTGAGAGGAATCGACAAAGTGGACAGAGACAGGATGTTCCAGAGATGGGACACAACAACTAGGGGGTCACAGTTGGAAATTGAAGACTCAGATGAATCACAGGGACGTTAGGAAGTATTTCTTCAGTCACAGAATTGTCAGAAACTGGAACAGTCTGGGAAGTGATGTAGTGGAGGCAGGATCCATACATAGCTTTAAGAAGAGGTATGATAAAGCTCATGGAGCAGGAAGAGTGACCCAGTGGCGACCAGTGAAGAGACGGGGCCAGGAGCTATGACTCATCCACTGCAACCACAACTAGGTGAGTACACACACACACACACACACACACACACACACACACACACACACACACACACACACACACACACACACACACATTCAAGAAAAAAGATCTTGGAGTGAGTATTATACCGAGCACATCTCCGGAAGCGCGCATCATCCAAGTAACTGCTGCAGCATATGGGCTACTGACAAACCTAAGAGTAGCATTTCGACACCTGAGTAGGAAGTCATACACGACACTTTACACCGTGAACGCCAGGCCCCATATTGGAGTATGCAGCACCAGTATGGAACGCCCACACCTGGTCAAGCATGTCAAGGAATTAGAGAATGCTTAAAGGTTTGTAGCAAGACTAGTCCTTGAGCTAAGGGTTATGTCCTACGAAGAGAGGTTAAGGGAAATCAACCTGACTACACTGGAGGACAGGAGGGAGAGGGGTGGGGGGTGATAACGACATATTTAATACTGAGAGGAACTGACAGGGTGGATAGGGACAGAATGTTTCAGAGATGGGATACACCAACAAGCGGTCACAGCTGGAAGTTGAAAACTCAAATGAGTCACACGGATGTTAGGAAGTTTTTCTACAGTCGAAGAGTTGTCAGAAAGTGGAACAATCTGGAGAATGATGTATCGGAGGCAGAATCCATTCATAGCTTTAGAGGTGTGAAAAGGTAGCTCGTGGCCTGGTAGGCAAAGCTCTTGCTTCACACGCTGAGGTGTCCGGGTTCGATTCGTGGTGAGGGTGAAAACATTGGGCGTGTTTTCTTACACCTGTTGTCCATGTTCAACCATCAATAAAATGGTTACCTGGGTTTCTATACAGTAGTATGTCACTGATATTGGCTACGTATGTATACCTTTTGTACATGTACTTGAAGAAATAAAGATAATATTACAAAGCTCATGGAGCAGGGATAGTAGCGACCAGTGAAGAGGCGGGGCCAAGAGCTGTGAATCGACCCCCTGCGACCACAATTAGGTGAGTACACACAAACAAAACAAAAACTAAGAATAGCATTTAGACATCCAAGTAAGGAGTCATTCACGACACCGGACACCATGTAAGTCAGGCCCATGTTGGAGCTGGGAGTGCACCAAGTGGCAACCAACGATGAAACTTACCCAAGAGCTGTGAATAGACCCCCGCAACTACATATAAGTGAGTACATAGAGGTGTAATCTCACAGATGGTAGCGTGGCCGAGTGGTCTAAGGCGCTGGATTTAGGCTCCAGTCTCTTCGGAGGCGTGGGTTCGAATCCCACCGCTGCCAGAACTGTTTTTTTGGTCAGGAGCTGTGAGTCAAATCCTGCTATCAGTTGTAGGTGAGTAAAAACACTCACGCGTACAAATACACTTATGCACTCACATACTTGTGTGTGAGTGCATAAGTTCTCACACTTAACATCCAGGGGTGAGTAGACAAACACATGCACACGTACGCGCCCATACAACTTTAACATTGACAAACGGTATCTCAAAAACAAACAAAACACACACACACACACACACACACACACACACACCACACACACACACACACACACACACACACACATAGAGCGACCAGTGAGGAGGCGGGGCCAGAAGATGTGAAACGACCCTTGCCACCACAAATAGGTAAGTACATACACATACACATACAGCAGCAGCAAATGCGAGTCTGGCAAACCTAAGATTAACTCTCAGCAAACTAAGTAGGAAGTCATTCCCTACACTATACAGTGTACGTCAGGCCCATATTGGAAATGCAGCACCAGTATGGAACCCATACCTGGTTATACATGTCAGGAAATTGGAAAAAGTGCAGAGGTTCGCAACAAGACTAGTCCCGGAGCTAAGGGGTATGTCCTACGAGGAGAGGTTATGGGAACCCAAGCTGATGTTACTGGGGAGGATATGATAACGACGTATATAATACTGAAAAGAATAGATAGGATAAAGATAGACAGATGTTCAAGAGATGAACAAGGATAATATAAGGGCATATTTGGAGGTTGAAAGAACAGAAGAGTCAAAATGATGTTAGGAAGTACTTCCTTAGTCGTTAGGAAGTGGAACAACGTGGGGAGCGGAGTGGTACATGCAAAATCCATACCTAGCTCTAAGACAACGACCGATAAGGCTCTGGAAGCCAGTAGAGAGTGAACCTACATAGTAGGAATGAGCGTAGAGGCGGTTCCAGAAGCTGTGAATCGACTTATAACCACAAATAGGTGAGTACAAACACACACATACACATACATAGGAGTGGTAGCAGATTTGTCCTTTTGTGCTTTCGATACACCACTGCTAGACTGCGTGGAAGCCGAAATACTATCGGCAGATAGTCTGGATAGGCAGCACTTGTAGTGGTAACAGTATTAGTGATACAGTTTCCTTCATGGTTCTCTATTTGTGCTAAAGTCTTCATGCACATCTCTCAATATTTCTTTGTCCCTCCCGGCAGTGTGGGGTGGAGATGGCGGAGAGTAGGGTGAGAACCTTCTAATGTTCTATTGTAGAACCCTTCTGTGTTGAGGGAATATA